GATGTGTCTGGTGACTTAGTACCTATAAAGTGTTAAGCCACACCCGCACAGCATGAAAATAGTACAAGTGCTTGCTGCTGTCACTGTTACAGGTAGGTCATTAGGATTGTCTATATTTTCCAGAAGGAAATTCAAAAGGTAAAATGCTTGTCCAAGGTCATGCTTCTAGAAAATGTGCTTTAGCAGCACCTGAACTCAGGTCAGACAGCACCCAAAGCCTCTTCTGCTAACTGCTGGACTGTACAACCAGAGCTCCTGGGCAGTGTGGTAGGCTATATGTAAGGAGATAGACTGTTTTTTCCCCCAATCTATTGTGGATAACATTTTTAGAATATAAAGTCAGGTGCTTGGATTGTCTCAACACTGTCAATTGCTATGGAAGTTCTGAATGCTTGCTTTGACTTTCTGAACTCAGCACCAGCCGGCCTTGCTGAGTCTCCATTTCCAGATGGGCCCTCCCAGGCCTAGAGGAGTACTACTCCAAGTCTGGCAGTAGTACTCACACTTGGAATAGTATTCCTCTAGGCCCTGGGGGGGGCCCACCTGGACATGGAGAGAGAAGTTCTGCAGAATGGGCTGAATAGATAACATTGAAGTCACATTAGGGAAAGTCATGGTCAAGGAATTTACACTTGGTAGGTGTCCAGGCCCAACCCCTGACACCAGTGCTATGCCCCTTGCCAAGCTGAGGGGCCTACGGAACGGCAGGGCTGAGCCAGGCCACTGGGGGTAGGGTCACTACCCTGTGCTTTCTGGCACAGCTGATGGCACACATGGGAAGTTAAGTAACTCCCCAAGAATAATCAAAAACACGTGGGAACACAGAAAACAAGCAGTTCTACTCAGAGGTCTTTTCTTTTTTCTTTTTTTTTCTTTTTTTTAGGAGGGGGTGGGAGGGGTGGAGACTGACCACAGCATGCCTAATGTTTTTCAGGAAACTGTGCTTCTATCATTCTCCCATTGAGGTTTAACAGTTACTTCTCCCTAACTGAGGAAACCCTCACCTCTGCTCTGTTGGCATGAAGCTGCATGCCCCTGATTTGGAAGGCTGTATTTTTCCACCTAACAGTAACAGCTTATGTTTCCTCAGTTCTTCCAGTGTTTCAGTGCCTGTGCCTGAGTGCTTTACACTTAATCCTCCCATCAACCTCCTGAAGAATATACCATTATTAGCCCTATTTTCCTTCTTTCCTTTTTTCTTTTCTTTTCTTTTTTGGATAGAGTCTTGCTCTGTCACCCAGGCTAGAGTGCAGTGGCACAATCTCAGCTCACTGCAAACTCCACCCCCCGGGTTCAAATGATTCTCCCAAGTAGCTGGGACTACAGGCACCTGCCACCACGCCCAGCTAATTTTTCTATTTTTAGTAGAGACGGGCTTTTGCCATGTTGCCCAGGCTGGTCTTGAACTCCTGAGCTCAAGCCATCTGCCTGGCTAGGCCTCCCAAAGTGCTGGGATTACAAGCATAAGCCACCATGCCCAGCCTTATTAGACCTATTTTACAGATGAGGAAACTGAGGTTCAAGGGAGTTAAATAACTTAAAGCCCCCAGTAAGCAATGGAACCAAGACTCTGCTGTCTCGAAAGTGCACACCTTCCTGCATCGCACTACACACAAGTTGAGCTTGGTTTTCCTGGATTCTTTAGTGGAAGTTACATAGTTATCCCTAATATAAATTAAGTGATTTCCAGTGTGAATATGGTACTAACTCCATATTATGCCTAGGTCAGATCATCTTACAAAATCTTTGACAAATTTTCCAAGTTTAGTAGCCTACTTATTTCAAGCAAATCCAGGACAAAAGAGTACCATAAACTGTACAATTTCTTATTGTGTTTTTATCAACTAGTAAGTTAGGTGGCCATTGCTTATATAATAGGATTCACACATCCAGAAAATGAGAGATCAAAGGTGGTCTGTGGCCATATGCTCCTGGGAATGTCAGCAATGACATGACCAAAGCCTCCCTGGAGGCTGGTGATCAACTCTGAGCCTGGTCTGTGTCCACTAGTTCTTGAGCATTAACATTGGCCAGCCAGCACTGAGCACTTTGTGCCAGGAACTCTTCTATGTGTTTTGTGTTTATTTAATTTTCATAACCTTATCAAGGATGTACCGTCATTATCCCCATTTACAGACAGAAAAATTACACTTATTTTTGAAAAGTCGCATAGCTGGCAAGTGGTGGAGCTGGAATTTGAACCCAGGCATTTTAGCTCCAGAGTCATCCTATACTGCTCTGAGGATCCAGGCAGCAGATGTTCCCAAGGTCCAGCCAAGGGGCAGGCGATATGGTTTGGCTGTGTCCCCACCCAAATCTCATCTTGAATTGTACCTCCCATAATACCCACATGTCGTGGGAGGGACCTGGTGGGAGGTAACTGAATCATGGGGGCGGGTTTTTCCCATGCTCTTCTTGTAATAGTGAATAAGTCTCATGAGAACTAATGGTTTTATAAATGGGAGTTTCCCTGCACGTGCTCTCTTGCCTGCCACCATGTTAAGATGTGCCTTTGCTTCTCCACCATCTGCCATGATTGTGAGGCCTCCCCAGCCACGTGGAACTGTGAGTCCATTAAACCTCTTTTTCTTTATAAATTACCCAGTCTCGGGTATTTTTTCATAGCAGTATGAAAATGGACTAATACACTTGGCATACGTGATATGTAACTATATATACAAGACTGGGTACGCCTTCATCCACTGTAACAGCAAATCATGGTTGACGTGACAGAACCAACTAGCAGCACATAAAGTCACCCACTAAATGTCGCATCAATATGCAGGACTGAGCCACTGAATTATTAAAGCCAGACCTGCAAGTAGAGTGGGCTCCTTTCAGGTAAGAGCATCAAGGGCTGAACGCTTTGCACTGTTAAGTATGATCTATTAAACTTTCTGAAACCCACCGTTTTTGTTGACTCGCTAGGTCTAAAGCACAGCGCTGGAGGAATGAGACCAGTGTCAGAAGAGAAGGCAGCATGGGAGACACCAGAGATGGGGAGGGCAAGAGGCAGCCCACAGTAGAAGGTGGTAGGTGGTGTGCAGACACAGGGCAGAGCCTGCAAGTCTTGGTGCAACTCCTGTCCCATATTTCACAGAGTTCCAATCCAGTCTGTTTTAAAGCAGAATTCAACTGATGTGTATAAATTATATTTTATTCACAGTAGGCCTAGAAGAAGCTCCGCAGTCTGACCAACTTTATGGTTCATGTATCTAAGGCACGTTTCAGTGTCTCCTGTTCCCTTTGTAGCAAGGTTTTCAAAGAGCCCCTTGCATTTTTTTTTTTTTTAAAGAGATGGAATCTTGCTCTATCACCCAGGCTGGAGTGCTATGGCACGATCATCACTCACTGTGGCCTCAAGCAGTCCTCCCGCCTCAGCCTCCCCAGTAGCTGGGATTACAGGCGCAAGCCACCACATGGCGTCCACTGCTTTTATTAAGAACTGGAAGGCATCTGGATCAGTCTCCTTTTTCAATACACACAAAGAGAAGCTTAGAAAGGAAAGGCAAAGGGGAAATTGCATCCATGGGGCATTTATTATGGGTAACTTAAATCATAATTTATGATCATAGGTAATTGTATATATATCTTCACACAATGGGGCAGGTGATACTATCTTCATTTTATTATATAGAGGGAAAAATAAGGTTCAGGGTTACACAGCTGGTTAATGAACAAGATCTGTGCCCCATCTGAGGTGCTAAGTCTGTCCTAGCTAAGCCAATGCTATCCCTTTCTGGACCTGAGGACGTAGATGATGCTACTGAATATGCCTTGGATGGCTATTTGCTCATAGGTTCTTTAGAAATTAACATGACAACTGAATGCTGATTTTGTTCTCATATAATTGACATTACTAACATTTAAAAGCCTCAAATGTTTGCTATTCAATATTTTATGAATATTTTTATGAAAGAATACATTAGGTTTCTTTTATGGTTACGAGAAACCAGGTTAATTAGATTTGTACAATGAACAAAAGTCTGGCCAGTGTGCTGGAACCAGGGAATCCCTAATGTAACAGACTGTCTCCAACTTTCAGCTCTGCTTTCCAGAATATCGGCATCATTCTCAAGCAAGCTCTCCACACGTGGAGGCCAAGATTCCCCCATGGCGCTAGAATCCCATCTTTCTTCCAGCTCCACAGCCCCAGCAAAAGTCCCTGGACACATGGGATTGGCCATCTTGAGTCACAAGTCCGTTCCTGATCCAATTACTCCAGATCCTGGGGCTGCCCCTGATGGGGAGGGAGGGAGCAGATAGGAAGTTCTCCAAAGGGAGGTGGAAAATGCCCTATGTCTCCTCCAGGGTGAGAAGCGTTTCTAGCTGACCTATTAATATTGCACCACAGAAACCTTATGCCTCTTAAATAATTTGTGCAAACTTGTAGAATTTATTGAAAAGCAAAAGGAAACCAAGTAGAGAACTATTTTTTAAAGTTTCTTGAAAAAGCCGCATAAAGTAGTGAACCCTTGTGTCCTACAACAGTGATTTTTTAAACTATAGGTCACCACCCTTTAGTGAATCCTGAAATCAATTTAACGGTCATGACCAGCACTTTCTGTTTTTTGAGTCAGGGTCAGCACTGTCGCCCAGGCTGGAGAGGGCGAAATCAATTTAAAGAGTCATGAACAGCACTTTTTTTTTTTTCTTGAGACAGGGTCAGCACTGTCCCCCAGGCTGGAGTGCAATGGTGCAATCATAACTCACTGCAGCCTTGACCTTCCAAGCTCAAGCAATTCTCCTGCCTCAGCCTCCCGAGTAGCTGGGACTACAGGCACACACCACCACACCCAGCTAATTTTTGGGTTTTTTTTTTTTTTTTTTTTTAGTAGTGACAAGGTTTTGCCATATTGCCCAGGCTGGTCTGGAACTCCTGGAGTAAGCCACTGTGCTCACTCCATGACCAGCACTTTTTAATGAAAATATCTGTGTGTAGCACACAATAGACTGATTTTTGCTTCAATTTACATATCTACGTTTGTGTTCCTTTCCAGGTTCCCTCATCCATCCACCCTGAATGAAGACAGATACTCACCTGGTCATGGCCTGAGATCCGACCGAAGCCTGAGAGGTGACTCAGCCACAAGACACTCAGAGTTTATTAGAATTGTCTAGTCCCAGCTCTGCTTCCTCCAAGCTGTGAGACCTCGAGGCACTGCAGTAACGCCTCTGAGTCTTCCTGTTCTCATTTGAAGGACAGGAATAATACCTGTCCTTCCTGCCTCATGGGGTTGTTACAAGGATCAAATGAAGTGGTGCTCTTGACCAGTGGCAAGAACTTCAGAAATGTGGGTTGTAATGATTTGTATTTGTTAGCAGTAAATAAAAGTGCTTGGAACCAACTGGCAGCCTCTGGGGCAATTAAGTGTAGAAAATAAAACCCATGCCTTTTGGAAACTAGCATTCTTCCACATATATTGCTTCCAGACTACTAAATGGAAGTTGTTTCTGGAAGATGGATAGATTTAAAAATTTTGGCCTTGGAGCCCCTTTTTGCATCCCACAGAAAGGGGCTCCGTTCACAAGGAAGTCTTCACCCCTAGACTGAGCCTCCCAGAAGCACACCCTGAACAACTCGGCAGAGCTAACCAGTGCATTTCCTGTCCTGCAAGTACCGTTACTGATACCTGCTGCCTCCCAGAAGGAAGTGGCAGCATCTGATTGGTGGGGTTGGGGGAATTAGGGAATGCATGTTAATGTGAACCCCAAGAGTGAGTTGATAGCTGGTGAAGGGGGAGAAGGTAGAGGTGAGGGCCTTTAGGTTGGCCGGCTGGGCTGGCCTCGCAGTCAGTAAAGCCCCTCATACAGAGCCACTCGTCTCCTGCTGGGAACCACTGACCTTTTGGTTCAGATGCCTGATGTAAACTCACTGATATGGGAGGGGAGGATCTGAATGGGTAGGAGGAAGCAGGGAAAGTTACTAGGACAGATAGATTCTAAGGCTTATCTGAAAGGAAGGAAGGAGTTGTGATATGCTACCTGGGAGGTCCAAGGGAGAAGGGCCTGGGCAGTGTGCACCACTGGTGAGGGTGTGAAAAATGGGCTGGTGACTGGCCACCGAATGGCTTGGGGAGAAGTGGCCGGAGAGAGGGTCACCTGTGTGGTGGGAAGGGTCGGACAAGTGTTTTTACATGTTATGAGAATGTCTACGTTTGACACGAGAAACTCCTAAGTTTGCAAAGAAAGGATACACAGCCACCTTCCTTTGATATCAGAAACAACATGCTGGGGATTAAAAATAATTACTTGGCCAAGAACCTTACCATTTACCAGAATGCATCCATGCAGTAAATATTTGGATGTCTATTACGTGCCTGGCATGTCCCACTTCACCCACAGGAGGAAGTCCATTTTATAAATGAAGAAACTGAAGCTCAAAGAAGTATGTGAATCTGTCTGAGGTTTCAGTCTTCTTAAAGATGAGAGCAAACTTCTGCTTCTTGTTCTCCTCTAATACCATAGCACACTCAAGAAATGAGCATCTTTAGTTGTGCTTGGATTGGCCGAATCTGCCTTTAGGTAGAGGAGCAGACTTAATGGCTTTAATGAGCCACTTAACTACTTTCTAGAGACAACCTGGAGATGCTTTTGAAGAGCCCAGTCTGAGACCTGGTTCCATTTTTCCATTCCTTCTGTGTCCCTGCCCCCAACCCCCACCCCCAGAACACATTTGGCAGTGAAGGGGCTCCAATTCCTGTTCTTGGGAGTGGCACCCACTTGTGCTCAAAGTAGACTTAAGTGGCTTGAAAGTAAGTGCAAGGGTCGGGAGAAGGACTTGACTGCATGAGGGAACTTTTAGAGGTTATAGAAATGTTTCTACCGTAATTGTGGCATTGGTAACATTTAATAAAACTTGAATTATATACTAAATTGGTAATTTTTGTTGGCTGTAAATTATAGTTCAATAAAGCTGATTTTTAAAACACTCAATGTAAGTCCTGATATGTGCATTTGTGGTATGTAAATTCCACATCAGAAAGGAAAAAACTAAACAGTTGTTGAATTCCAGTTAATGATACACATGCTGAAGTATTTAGGGGCAAGTATATGGATGTCAGCAGTTTACTCTGAAATGCATAAGATGTAAGATATGTTAATGGACAAGTAGATACATGATCAAGCAAGTATAGAAAAATTTAATTGTCCAGTCTCAGTGGTCAATTTGCAAGCTGCCATTGTAAAATTCTTTGATATGTTTGAAAATGTCATTATACAATGTTGGGGAAAACCAGGTGACTTCAGGTTTTTCGCAGAGCCAAAGAGTTCCTATTGGACCAACTCTTTAGCAAATAAAAACTGTAAGCTCTGGAAAAAAACCTTCTTTAAAAACCAACTTCTTAAGATACTGAAATAGACCAAAAGCAGGCAGATACTGGAGAGGAGTCAGTAACTGGAGGACGAGCACGGGACTGTGTGAGTTTCCTGTTTTTTACCACCGTTAGCCTGAGGCCAGATGTCCATGCACCTTGCAGGACAGGTAAGCCTCCAGTGTACAATCTACAGTCTCGCTGGCTTGAGGAACCAGAGTAGAGTTCAGAGCACCACAGCCTCTCAAGAGTAAAGGGGGAAATAACAGAAAAGCAAGCTAGAGAGGGGATTCCTAAATTCTGTATATAAACTGCTCAAATCTCTAGCTGACCACTGAACTATGCATGCAGGACTAAGGCTAAAAGAACTGAACTAAAAGTTGAACTACTTCCCACTGCAGGGGAGACAGTTTTGTCGCTGAGTTCAACCAAGTTAACTGCATGTTTTAAAATAATAATTCTTTTCAGAGGAATATAAGAGAATCCCGAGTTTCTACAACATAAATTATACACTAAATACAATGTCTAGGATACAATCCAAAATTACTCACTATCTAAATAAAAAAATTTTGCCTCATTCTCAAGAGACAAAGGAGATCAACCCCAAGAAGTTCTAGTCAAAGCTATTAAAGCAACTATTAAAACTGTGCAAGACTGTAAAAAAAAAAAAGTTCAAATAGTAATGGCAGAAAAAACTCCCAAATTTGGTGACAGACATAAATTTACAGATTCAAGAAGTTCAGTGAATAATAAGCAGGATTAATACAAAGAAAACCCCATCTAGATGCACCATAGTCTACTGAAGACCAAACTTAAAGAGAAAACATTGAAATCAGCAACAGGAAACTAGGGAGTAATGATTTAAATGACTGCTGACCTCTCTTTAGAAACATTGGAGGCCAGAAGACAGTGCAACGTCATCTTTAACATGCCGAAAGGAAAAAACAAAAAGTCACCGCAGAGATCTGTATCTAGCAAAAATATATTTCAAGAATGAATAAAAAAAAACAACTAATATTTTCAGATAAAAGGAAACTAAGAGAATTTGCGGATCTAAATTACAAGAAATGCTAGAGGAAGTTCTTCAGGCTAACAGCAGATTTTACCAGAGGGAAACTCAAATCTTTAAGAAGGAATAAAAGCCACTGAAAATAGTAAACATCCGAGTAAATACAAACGATGTCTTCTTTCTTTCTCTTTAAACTTTGTATTACTGTTTAAAGTAAACAACAGGCAGGCATGGTGGCTCACACCTGTAATCCTAGCGCTTGGGGAGGCCAAGGCAGGTGTATCACGAGAACAAGAGATCGAGACCATCCTGGGCAACATGGTGAAACCCCGTCTCTACTAAAAATAAAATTAGTTGGGCATGGTGGCATGTGCCTGTAGTCCCAGCTACTCGGGAGACTGAGGCAGGAGAATAGCTTGAGCCCAGGAGGTGGAGGTTGCAGTGAGCCGAGATTGCGCTACTGCACTCCAGCCTGGCAACAGAGTGAGACTCCATATCAAAAAAAAGTAAGTAAATAAAAATTGGTGGGATTTTAGCATATGTAGATAATTTGAATGACAATCATGGCATAATAGATGCAGGGAAGGGAAAAGGAAAGGACCCTTTACAGTAAGCTATCTGTATTTTATCCAAAGTGATACAATGTTAGTTAGCTCTTAGAGAGCTGTGAAATGTTCATCCCTAGAGCAACCACTTAATGTAAAGATAGAGCTAGAAAGCCAATAGATAAAAATGTCTGCTCTGAGAAAGACACTATTAAGAGAATAAAATGACCAGCCACAGACTGGGAGAAAATATTTGCACAACAGTTATCTGATAAAGCCCTGTTAACCAAAATATACAAAGAATTTTTACAATTCAACAATGAGAAAACAATGAGATTAAAAGATGGGCCAAACCAGGAGTTTGAGACCAGTCTGGGCAGCAAGGAAAAAAAAAAACTTGGCATGGTGGTCCATGCCTGTAGTCCCAGCTACCTGAGAGGCTGAGGCAGAAGGATCACTTGAGCCTAGGAGTTCAAGGCTATAGTGAGCTATGATCGTGCCCCTGAATTCCAGCCTGGGCAACTGTCCCTTAAAAAGAAATAGGCTAGAGACACCTCACCAAAATATACAAGTGGCAAATACACATAGGAAAAGATGCTCCACACATCATATGTCATCAGAGAAGTATAAATTAAGACAATGAGATACCACTACACATTTATTAGAATGGCCAAAATCCAGAACACTGACATCACCAAATGCTGGCAAGGATATCGAGCAACAGCAACTGTCATTTATTGCTCATGGGAATACAAAATGGTACAGCCACTTTGGAAGACAATTTGGCAGCTTCTTATAAAACTAAATATAGTTGCCATATGATCCAGCAATTGCACTTCTTAATATTTACCCAAAGGAGTTGAAAACTTATGTCCACACAAAAACCTGCACACAGATGTTTATAGCAGTTTTATCCATAACTGCCAAAACTTGGCAGCAACCAAGATGTTCTTTAATAGGTGAATGGATAAATAAGCTGTGGTACATCCGGATAATTGAATATTATCCAGCACTCTTCAGAAAATGAGCTGTCAAGCCATGAAAAGACACAGAGGAATCATAGATCCACATTGCCAGGTGAGAGGAACCAATATGAAAAGACTACATACTGTATGATTATACCTATGTGACATTCTGGAAAAGACACAACTTTGGAGACAGTTGAAAGACCAGAGGTTGCAGGAGTGGAGGTGGTAGGATGAATAGGCAGAGGCTAGAGGATTTTTAGGGCAGTGAAGCTACTGTGTATGATACTATAATGGTGGATACATGTCATTATACATTTGTCCAAACCCATACAGTGTATAGTACCAAAAGTGCACCCTAATACACACTATGGACTTCGATAATGTGTTAATGTAGATTCATCAGTTATAACAAATAGACCACTCTGTTGGGAGATATTGATAGTGGGGGAGGCTATGTGTGTGTGTGGGAGCAGGAGTATTTGGGAAATGTGTACCTTCCTCTCAATTTTGCTGTGAACTTAAAACTGCTCTGAAAAATACTCTATTAACTAAAAAAGACCCAGTTAATCCAAAAGATGTTAGGAAAGGTGGAACAGAGAAACCAAAAATAGTGGGGACAAACTAGACAAATAGTAAAATGGTAGACTTAAGTCCAGTCGTATAACAACTACATTAAATGTAAATGGTCTCTATCTGCACTAGGATGGCAGCCACAGGCCACGTGAGATACTTGTTAATTGACATTAAATAAAATTTAAGTCAGTCTCTTCATTGCACTAGCCACATTTTAAGTGCTCAGTAGTGACTCCCGTATTTCACTAGTATATTGAACAGCACAGATATAAAATATTTCCATTATCACATAAATTCTATTGACCAGCATTGGTCTGGTCAATCATGGAGATTATCAGAACTGACACAAATCCCCCCAAAAAGACCCAACTGCATGCTGTTCACAGCAAGTCCACTTAAAATACGTAAACTAGGCAGATAAGTTAAAAGTAAATGGATGGGAAAAGATACCATGCAAATGTCAAGCAGAAGAATGTGGTGACTGGATTAATATCAGATAAAGTAAACTTCAAGGCAAAGGGTATTACCAGAGATAAAGAGGGACATTTCATATTAATAAAAGGGTCACTACACCAGGAAGATAAAATAATTATCAATACATATGTTTAATAACAGCTTAAAAGTACATGAAACAAGTGACATAAAGGTAGAAATAGATGATTACATAGAGCTGGTGATTTTAAATATTCCTCTCACCAATCAATAGAATACATAGAGCAAATGTCAGTAAAGATAGATCGTATAAACACCATCAATTACTTTTAACTGACATTTATAGAACACTATAGCCAACAACTGCAGAATACACATTCTTTTCAAGTGCACATAGTACATTCACTAAAATAGACCATCTGGCTGGACCATGAAATAAGTCTCAACAAATTTAGGAAGATTGAAAACATACTGAATATGGTTCTCTGAACACACTGGAAATAAGTTAGAAATAAATAATGTGTCCTTTTTAAACTCCAGATATTTGGAAATTAAGCAACACACTTTTAAATAATTCATGTGCCAAAAAAAACATCAGAAAATAATTTGAATAAAATATGAAAATACAATATACCAAAATTTTTAGGATGCAGCTAGCACCAGGCTAACAGGGAAAGGTAAAGTTTAAAAATATTAATGAGACAGCCAGGTGGGAGGGGGTCGCTGGAGAAGCTCCAACCAGCCTGTCCACTGAGGTGGAGCTGGAGCCTGGGGAAGTTCAGGACCCTTGCAGCAGGGAGGAGCCCGACCCCTCCTCTTCCTGTGTGGAACCTGGGATTCAAGCTAAGGGCGGGAAGCGCTGTAGCAGGGACTCTGGTCTAGAGAGAGTGCCTGCTTCTCCCTTTTCTTCCTTTTCACCCAATAAAGTCCTGCTTTACCCTTCAAACCCTCCGCCAACCTAAATTTTCATGGTCGCAGGATGGACAAGGACCCCATCTTTAGCTGAACTAAGGAAAAGTCCTGCAACACTAACATTAGCAAAGAAGAAAGGTCTAAAATTGGTGATCTAAACATCCACCATAAGAAGCTAGAAAAA